AGGCTAAGCGAGTATTACAACGTGCGAGTGCAGCCAGAGTACAGGCGCGCATTCTGATCGTGAGTGCGAGTCGCGAGCTGGAGCTTGCAGCAAGTGCATGGCAGAGTGCAGGTGCAGAATCTGCACATACACTACGAGGAATTTCTCCCTCTCTCTCTCTGTCTCTCTAAATCTGTACGAGTGTTGGTGCTTTCGTGCGTTTATACACACGCAGACAGGTATTACGAGGTTCCACGTGCCCACTTGGCCAGCGGCCACGCGTAGATACACACACGCAATCACACACGCAGGCACACGATTCACGCACACTCGTGCCGAAGTGCGTATATATAGCCATTGGTTTGTTGCTCGATGCTTGTTCATCTCGGTGGGCTAGTAACCAATTAACCCGTGAACGCACAGAATGCAAGAGCGCTCGTTTCTGTTTGTGCGGCTAGACTACTATGGCCGCGCGCGCTGACTATTTGCCGTGTTAAACACACGCACGAACACACAAGCGCGTTTATATATACGTACACCCACACGTAAATATATATGTATAAATCCAGTATCGTATATCGATTTTGTGAACACATTTGCCTTCCGCGCCGTACATGCCTTTGACCGGTTAAATTACCCTCCGTGTTACACGCTCTTTGCTTCTCTGGCGTTTTTTTACATTCTCTCTCTCACCACATCGACACGAATCACGCACAATTGTTCATAGCGCGTAAGTAATAGTTCCGCACCTACAGCAATCGCAGTATGCTGCATTTATGCCTGTGGCCTAGTCACTCGCTTTGTATTAATACGCAATTGAGAAATTATTTCCGAGTTATGAAATTCATGCCGTGCACTGCGCGTGGAGTAAAGGTGAAGAGAGAGAGAGAGAGAGAGAGAGAGAGAGAGAGAGAGAGAGACTGATATTTCAAGGAAGGTTTATTTTCCGAACGACCGAGCAAGCAGTTTCCGGAGCTTTTTTGATTCGAGTGCCGGGCAAAAGCCCAAGATTACGCAGCAGCAAGGCGTGTATATAGCTCTCTCCGTCCGTTCAATTTCGTGTACACGCACCATGCATACATCGCGTAGAGAGCAAAGAGCAAGAGAGAAAGAGTCTGATGCGACCAGCCAAATCGCATCTCTCTCTCTCTCTCTCTTTCACTTATTCTGCTATCGACAGACACGTAGACTAGTCTCCCCTTGTCTTACGATATATAGATATAGAATAATATTCAGTCAATGGAGCGTGTTACTTGTATATGGAGAATTGAACGACAACCGGAGCAACGTGTTTAATGTGGTTTGTTTGCTCGTGTACCCGCCTAGTTTATTGGTACATATCACGATTATTAATTCAACCGATTGTTGCCACGCGACCGTACATTTATTTCATGCGCAGCAGCTCGTAAGATACAACATAACATATATTGCACGCTCTCGCGCGCGTTTGACCGACCGTGATTTTTCTCTCGTTTATTTATTTATTTATTTACTTATTTATCGAGGTCGATGTAAAAATTATTCTCGGCTAATCTGTTTACCAGCGCACTTGAGCACATTCGATTCGCAATCTCTATCTCTCGGCTGGTTTCGTCGCTCGATCGAGTGCTGTACACTCTTGCGCACTGCTGCAGCTCGAGTAAGCCAGCGCGGTGCATGATACGCATTTTCAAAACGATCGCTTATGAATACCTTAATGGCTCTTGTATATTTTTTTAAACTTGTTACGAGCATCTAATGAATTGCACGTGCAGTGTAAATCTCTTTCGCTCACTCGGTCTCTCTCTCTATCTCTCTTTCTTTCTTTCTCTCTTGCAATGCCCTACGGCCGCGAGCGTATTATGGGATTTCCCCCTAATTCGACGTCTAAATATAGCACTCGCGAAAGCGAGCGAGAGAGAACGAGCTTATACACACTTGCCCCGATGCACTTTACGTAAAATGTATGTGCTCTATTCCCCCCGTTTACTTATTTTATTTTTTCGTCTCTCTCTCTTTCTCTTTCTAGCTCGCTCTTTTTTTTATCTCTTTTTTTACTGCACGCTCATGGAGTCCCCTAAGTGTCTTTGTGCTTTGCACTTTCTTACAGATTTCCAGGCATTTTCTCGATTCGTGCGATCCGCGATGGGTTCAATGCCTCTCTCTCGAGGCATAAAGGTTCATTCGCGACGTTTATGAAACGTATCAACGTCCGAGATCAAATAGCAAAATACCAAGTTAATGAAATCAGAATAAAATTGAACGTTTTCATTAAACTGACAGCTGACACGTTTTTTCGTTTCCGTCTCGTTCGAATCGAAAAATTTTCAAATTTTTTTTTCTTCGCGTATGTATCGGCGTATCGACAAATTACTTTTTTGTCAATCACCTTAGTAACTCCATTAACTGACTCGTTTTTGACGGACAATAACAACGAATATTTCATCGCATAGTCGTATTCTTCTTTTTCGCATACATCTCCCTTCTCTCTGTTGTACCATTCTCACTCTTTCTTTCTCTCTCGATGCTTTCTACCCATCTTCGTCGGGAGTACACGCATGGCACGATCGGCCTTTAAATTTAGAAATTTCGAATTTCCGCACGACGCCGGCCTGTACTCGCACGACGACGCCACTGGCGTATATTCCCTCGTCGACGTAGCCGTCGTCGTCGTCATCGTCGCCGTAGTAGTAGTAGTAGTGGTAGTACATACAGTAGTGCCAGCAGAAGAAGCTGAGAGTGAGAGAGAGAGAGAGTCGGCTCTCGGGCAGTTTACGACGCGCTCGCTGGCATACGCCGCCAGCCGATGCGTGTGCCCGGCTTACCAAAGTAGTTGTTCGGCAATTTCGTGATATACTCCGTGGCCGTAAGGTGCTTGAGCAGTGAATTTTTCGATCCCCGATCGGATCATCCACGTGTGCAGAAGCGGCAGTTTTTTCTTTTTTGTTCACAGTGACAGTGTGTGCCTGCTGCTGTATTGTAACAGGTGCAATGCCTATAATGCGGCTTTTGCGCTCCCGTGGCTTTTGTGTGTGAGTGAGAATTTGAAGAACCCATATACGTGCAGTACCTTTAATCTTGAGTTCAATCCAGGCAGTGCAGTGCAAATTATCCATTTGTGCAGTGTAAAAAAATATTTAGTCGATCGTCGTCGTTGCGTTAGTATAAAATATACTTGACTGACGTATTTATTAAGCGGAACCGTTGGATGGATGAGAAATAAGCGCTATAGGTAGAAAATGTACGCATGAACGTCACCCGGTTTTCGAAGATATATATCGAGAAAAACCAATATTCGCAGTGTCAGCGCAAGCTCCAAGCGCGCGCGGATGAAGCCGCCCGATGAGCAGTAAGCAAAAAGTTAATAAACGAGCTAACAGCGGGAACACGACGACTACTACGACGTGAAAAGTAAAAACGTGAAAGCTGTAGAAAAAAAGAAAATAAACAAATTTGATGGATTAAGCATGCACGCGCAGTTTATATTTGGCCGAACGGTATACAGTGTATGAAAACGTCTTATGGACGTTCACCCTTGCTCTTCACTTGCTCCGCACGCTCTCAAGTTACCTAAAAATAGGAAGCGCAGAGAAGCGTCGCCTGCTGCTGCCGCTGATGCTACAACTATATAGCGCTCCGCTCGATTTTCTTTTTTAAAATCTGATGCGAGCCAAAGAGAGAAAGAGAGATAGAGAGAGGGCACACGGACCTGAAAGCACGCTATAACGATGCCGCTACTGCTGCGGACTCTATGTGAAATTATGACGTGCGAGTGAGTACGTGAGTGCGTAAAGTGGGTAAAGTGGTTCATAATATATATCGGTGATTATTTTTTTTACGTCATCGTCATCATCACTCGCGAGTTGATATACGAGGTGCTAAGTTTGTTGCTCAGTGTTATCTTGCGGCGCGAGTACGTGTAAACAATATGCCGGAGAGATCGAGCATCGGTTGCTGCAGCCGCTTATACGCCCAACGGTGAGTACGTTTCGATCATGCACGTTTGTCGAGAGAGAGAAAGAGAGAGCTGGCTATTTTTATTGCACACGTACGCGTGTATACGGTATATACCGAGCTCCACGAGATTTATTGGACTTTAAAAGCTCCGATCCAATTAGTAGCGAGTGCGCGCGCCTTTCTCATGCGCTGCTGTTGATATTCATTATTGAGAGCAGATAAATATTTAAGGGCGCGCGCACGGTCACTTAGTTTCTTATATACCCGGAGAATAATGCTTCGCGTTTGCCGGCGTGAGCCCAGTAATAGTGACGGAGAACGCGTTTGTGTAAATTTCAGCTTATACCGAGAGCGCGTGCACGCTCGATTTGTTAATCAAAAGAAAAAGTTTAAATTTAAAATATCCCGAGGGCGTGGAATTCCGAATGGAAGTTTGCAACTGCAAAAATAAAGAGAGCGCAACGGTGATCCGAGAAAAAATTCGAAATGTCAATTAACTTCGCTTCGCTTTTTGAATATAAACCATTTCAGTTGAAAACATAAACAATGAATGCTGCCACTGCTGGCGCGCGTGTACGGATTGCGCGCGATTCCGAGAAGGAAGCGAACGGCATTATTTCATATAAGCATCAGTTAACTGTCCATTTTCAAAATAAGCAAGTGATTAATGTCTCGTGCAAATGGATTTTTAAAAATAGAAGAAAATGATGTATTGTGTAAAGCTCGTACGATGTGCGATCGCGTAAATGTTTAGATTTTGTATTGAAACGATCGTTGAAATATAGCGTTGAAAAGTGGCATTGAAATATTTAACAGCGTAATAACTACAACATTGACGCGTGCTGTATTCATTACTTTTTACGCTGAAGCCTTACCGAACTTTTATCTCGAAAAAAAATATCTCGCTACTCACTTACAGGCGTAAACACGAATCACTCAACGATATCGAACGTTTCACCAACAGGCCGTGCTGACCAAACTGTACATCGCCTCGAGGAGTACGATCGCGCAGCCAAGCTGTGCGCGGATCAGCGTAGCCGAGCTTTTCCCGCGGCGATATGCTCGCGCGACTGCTTCGGCCACTGATGCTCCTCTGGCTGCTGTTGCTGCTGTTGAATTCGAGACCGACCCTCCAAGAGCAGCATCGAGACTTTTATCGAGGCGAGGCTCGCAATCAATACGGACATCGACTGGCCAGCAGCAACGCAGCCGGTGCCACCACAGGCGGCCATCACGGGGCGCGGACACGCGAGATCCAAGTCAAGTACGGCCGACTGCGTGGCACCGTCGTACAGCCACGAGCCGAAGGTCTTCAATTGGTCGACGTTTTTCTCGGTGAGTATGGTTATGCAACACGTGAGAGCCTGACGCATTTCGCATCGATGCTTTTTTTCCTGCAACTATGCTTTCTGGTTATATTAATGACGGGGGCCTTTTAAATATGAATGCATAGCGTGCGAATAATATTTTTTCCCGCTCGATTAATTCTCTGAGATTGCACGTCATTTGTCGAAGTTTTCGATGAAAAATAATGAGCCAGCTTTTAGCGAAGGCATTTGTTTGCGGTGTTGAAAACGATTGAAATGAAAGAAAAAATGTCTTTGATACAGAGGAAAGAATTATACTCGATCGATTCTCACATTATAATAGTCGTAAATGTAATTATTCTCGCGTTAAAATATTCGTTGAACTTAGAATATCGATCGCCATGCAGCTCCAATTATTGAAATGCTGTATATGAAAACTCATCCACGCGTTATGTGGCATATAGAGTCAAGAAACTTTGCTCGTCCGCCCTCATACGTATATAATACGTACGCGAGAAGGCAAGAAAACACGAAAATGTGTACGAGTATGAATAAAAACAATCAACATCAAAGCATCTGCTCTCGGTGAGAATAAGTGCGAGAGGACGGACAATACTCTGGCGCGAGAGAAAAGAGACAAGCTGAAAAGGATGATAATGCAGCGCGAGAGAGAAAGGGCATAAGTTGCGCGCGGGAAAAAGCGCATACATATAATACGTGCGCGCACATAAACGAGATATATACGCGTGTATGATGGGGAGCCACCGAGTAAATCAGAGATAAAGAAGACGACACACTCTGCGTGCCGCATGCACACACGCAGTGAAATAAACACATACAGCACGAGCGCACTTATATACATGTGTATACACGAGAAAACGCACGGAGAGAAAGAGAGAACCGGAGACGAAAATAGACGCGTGCGCAGCAGCAGCACATTTTGCAGTGTCAAGCGATGTGGCATATATAGATATATAGAAAGTAAAGTACGCGGAGCTGCTGCTGTTGCCGGGTATATACAACGCGTCGAGCTTAGAGAGCTGCTCGCGATACTCGACACCTTTGGGGTATTTTTATGTACGTATCACCGCGAGAAGAAGAAAAAGATACCTTATAAGCATACAGTGTGACGTGGAGAGCTTCTGTTGTTGCCATTCGCCAAGCTCCAAACAAAATAATGACCACAATTTCAAAATTTGACATTTAAATCGTGTTCGCAATTTACTCGATCGTTTCTTCGTCGGCCGCCCAGATTTAGCACGGTTTTTCATGTAAATAATATGGATTCGGTTCGCGCAGACATGCACACGTGAGTGTGCAAATATCTGTGTGTATATATGTGTGCGAGTGTGTTTATATATGTTTAAGCAGAAACGAACATAAAATGGAACGAATGCGAATTACTAATGAGTCGCAGTTATTCTGCGAGTCCCCGTGCCTGCGACTGCGCGCTGCTCGACTCGATTCTTGTGAAAATAATTTTTTTTTCCAACTGGATTTGCATTCGCTACAATGGATACGCGATGGACACTAAAGCTTTGCAGCGTAGCACTACAAAAGTCGGTACGCACGTAAAATATCGCATATTGTTATGTATTTTCGTTTCGAATCTGATGCTATGGAAATCAACAATGAATTTAAATCCAAATATTATCGTATTCTTTGACGCGATTTTTTTCAAGATTCGTACGACGCACTAGTTCATTAGGTTTTAATTTCGACTGATTCACTGTAACATAATCATATTATCGTGGTCAGTCGAGCGTTAATTTTACGAAATCAATGCCTAATTAAACGAGTCGTAAACAGTTTTATTTTACATCGGCTGACGCATACGCGTGACCGTTAATGCCGTTGCATATAATCAGGAGGCCGTGAACTCGTTATTCCTCTCTCGCATTAGCTCGGCTAAAGAGCCACGCGCAGGGTAAAAGAGACGAGTACGAGCTTAATTTATCGTCGGCGATTGCAGGGAGCTTTGGCAAAAAAAAGTAAGAAACACAAAAGTCGAGAGCTCGCTCAATACGAAAAGCTCGTCCACGCTACATATACGAGCGACGAAGCATCGATCTAGCTGATCAGGCATGAGCGTACGGTAGAAAGGGCTCGAGATCGAAGGTTATAACGTGGGGTATAAGGAAGAACGAACGTCAACGAGACGAGCCGAAACGCAGGCGAACGAGCAGCGCGCGAAAAAGACAATGAAATTGCCGAGGCCGCTCTGCGAAGCCGATAAATCGCGACTCTCTGCCAAAGAACTTCGGGCATGATCGTGGGAGGACAAAAGGATGAAGAAGAAAAAAAAATAAAGCGATCGCGCGAAGGTTCGGTCGTATAAAAGAAAGACGAAAGTCTGAATGGATTTTGAGCGCTATAGTGCCAATTGATGTCTGCCAATTGTAAAGCGCATCTTCGAAGTCGCCGTAGCATTTGAAAAGTGTTTCGTAGATGCGCATTACATACAAGCGTAAACTAAACATAAACCATCGGTATGAGAGATACAGCTTCTGCTGTATCGGTGGCCGTACATAAGTAGCGAGAATCTTCAAAGCGTTTCGTGGGTCTAAATATAAGGCGCAGCTAGCACTGGAAGTGCTCTTTAAGGGCTTATACCGTAGCGTTCGATCCCTTTGGAATTTGTACGTCGCATAATACGCGACACTTTTGCGCTGCTCTCGAAGTCTAAAATTGTATCGTACTGCTATAATTAGATAACTTTTTTTCGCAGGAGTGCCTTACGCCGAGCCACCGATAGGCCAGCACCGTTTCGAACCACCGACCACGCAGACGCCATGGACGGGAGTCCGCCACTTCGACAGGTTCGCCCCGGTTTGCCCGCAGGTGCTGCCCAACATGGAGGAGGAGATCGACTCGACGAGGCACAGGTACCTGAAAAAGCTGCTGCCCTACCTGCAGAACCAGAGCGAGGATTGCCTGTACTTAAATATTTACGCGCCTCATCAGAACAACAGTAAGTTTCATTTTATTTTTCAATATATAGTTCCGAAATAAATTCGTGTGTGTGCCCCGATGCTGCCACCGCGGCTGCTTCTGCAGTGCGGAGCGTGTAATGGAGAGGAAGAGAAAAGGTACGTTCGCACCGAGAGAGAAAAATCTTTCCCTGATATCCCCGAGAAATTCGAGTCTGACGGTAAATCAAGGAACAATACTGAAGAATTCATATCTTCATTCGTGCGCGAAAATAAATTCAGCCTTTCTTTTCTCAACAATGCTCCAGTCGAAAAACCCAAAAAAGTCTCGCAAAGCTCGCTTCGAAAAGAGGCAAAGAGAGAGAGAGAGAGAGAGAGAAAGAGAGAGATAGACCTGAGAGTAGAAGAAGGGAGAAAAGGATAAAAGAGAAAGAGAGAGAGAGGAAGAGAGGGACAAGGAGTTCGCAATAAAAATTCACAACCAAGTACTGCTGCAGCATATATATAGAGAGAGACGGTACAAAAAATCCTTCGTTCCTGAAGTGGCGTGGAGAGCTGGAGAAAAAAGAGCTTGCGCGTCTGAAAAATTTATCGGCTCGTGCGTGCTTTAACGTAGATAATGACCAATACACGTGAAAAGAAAAGATGAAAAAAATGGGAAAAATTGTTCATTCGAAATAACTTTTCAATTGATAAAAGTAAATAATTCGCAAATGAACGAGCGGATAAGTGTTCACAGTCGGAACAGACACAAATTAAAAATGTTTTATCCTTTTTCATATAGGCCCTCCACTTAAAACTAATACCATAAAACGTGTCTAATAGTTAGATGCAGCCATTTCAAGCGCTATATACACGGCTTTTCTCTCTTCATATAGCCTCTCCCTTTCTCTGCCCTTTTTTCTCTTCGTTCGTTCCCCCTTCTCAGCTTCTTCGCCTTCTCTTTATCGAGTATTTGATGGCAGAGCCCTTACCTTACCTTATATATCCCGCCGTCCATCCTTTCTGCTCGTTTTGCAGAAATGGCGCGCGCGCTATTTCGAGCCGCACGCGAGATTTTTATTTTCTCCGCAGCTCCGCGCTCATTACGAGCGCAACTATATAATGCCCTTGTAAGGGTATTCTCTTCGATCGCCGGAATCGGTATTGGGAGCGTAACTTTGATTTCACGAGAGACAAAAAGAACTCGTTGCTGTACACGCAGTTTTTTCTCTCTTTTATTTTTTGTCAGACGTATTCTTCAAAAATTTTTTGGGGTAATACGTTTACGAGAGAAAAAGAGAAAAGAAGGCGCACTGTATAGAGGGGCTAGCCAGCTCGCGCAGATGAAAAAGTGTGTCACTTTTATCGAACTGTTTGGAAGTAGGCACACGGAGGCGCGCATGGCTCTCGTCGTCGCTCTCTCTCGTCGTACTCGTCGCAGAAATACGCTTCGCGGCTTTTATCATCCAGAGACCCTACTGAAACGTGTATTCTGTGCTTCTACCGCGCCTTCGAATACAAGCGAAACTTCTCAACCTAGTTTTGTCACCTTATCGTCGCGACTTCTTATCCTCGATAACGTACTTGCAAGAGAGCTTAACTACAGCTGTGTATTGCAGTCTGTCTCTGTCTTTCTGTCTTCTTCTCTGTACCTCGCTTTTTATTCTTCATCGATTATTGAAATAAAAATGTATATGTGTGTACGTCGTCGAATCGTTGATTAAATCTCGACGAACCGCAGCAGCAGCTCGACGACGTGTATATACGTGCAGAGGCTGTAAGCGAGCTTTTTCATCCTCGCGTTCGCTCGCCTATAACGTATTCTCACGAAGACAAGTCTCTAAAAGCTGCACCGAAGAATAAACAATCCGGCAGTGGCAGCAGCTGGAGAGCATGCATTCAGTTTCTATATATACCTATATCTTTAAACCGCGCAACACAATTCTTTTTCTGCGCCATTGTTGCTCCCTTACGCGCGTGCACACACACGCACACACACAGATACTATATACACATATCTCTGGCTTATGATAGATACATCGCGAGTACCGATACGCCATTGTGCAGTGTATGTAGCTGTGTGTGTGTGTTTGTGTGTGTGCGTGCAGCTATGTCTTTGTATACGTACTTTTTCCTCACTGCATTGAGATTTAACATCGCAAGCGGGGCGAGAAAGAAATCGCGTGCGAGCGGAGCCAGTCGATGGCTTATTTATGGATTTTCAATATAAGCCCTTTATAGGGCGATTTACTGTTTTTCCGACCGAGAGCTTGCGATTTTTTTCTTCGACTATACGACCTATACAAGGCTTTTTTGCTCTTTAGCCTCTGCAGCAGCACACAACGCAGCCAATAGCGGTGTTGGTGTTGCGCTGCTTCTATAGTACAGCTTCGAGTCCTAGACGATGATATCTTGCGAGCAAGCGCGGCCCTGAGCGCGCCTCATCTCTTCAGCCACGGCTATAGACACTATACTATACCGAGAAGCTTTTTTCTCTCGAGTGCTGCAAGCCACGAGATTACGCGCGCGCACGCCGACGTTACAGATCTGTATACTTATGTGCGTTATATATACCAGATGCACGCGCACTCCGTTATGGTATTTGCTTCGATGAATTGTGGACCCGATCCTTTTTTCACCTTCGGTTCGCGAGGCAGTATAATAATTTGCACGAGGTGTTCGCGTGAAAATGATTTTCATTGGATTTTAATTTAGAGTTTCGTAACAACGGAAGAATACTTTATACGATTCGCGTTGGAGAGCTGTTGTACAAATCTTTTGTAGCGCGTAATATTGTCTCGCCCGTTGATATTATATGCCAGTATTTCGCGAACGACAAGCAATAAAGCTCGCGATGCGCGCATTCTTTTGCAGTGCACAGGCGCAAAATAACATGCTTTTCAGAGTCTAATAAAGGAAACGTGTCATTATGTATATGGCTCACTCTTTGAAATTTTGCTAATTTCATAATTTAAAATGAGAAGAATTGAGACTTTTTTTTAAATGAGCATTGCTGTCCGTTGGATGGCCTACTTTGATACCAATGATTACTAATTTTAGACTTATACTGTTTTTTAAGTTTGCCACTCGCAGATTTTTTAATTTAAAGGCACTCGCCACCGAGTGGTAGAAGCTTAAAGTAGTATTATCGTATTTGAAGCGTTTGAAAACTGCTTTCGTACTTTGAAACATTAAAATTGTTATTTTCAGGTCGTTTATAGCACGGATTGTAATTGAAATAGAAAATAGCCAAAAACTATCATTTAATGATGATGTATTTAAAAATATTTTTCTAAGTATTATTTTAGTCATTAGGTCATTGTAATGTTGAACATTTTCTACAAGGAAATTTTCAAATTATTTGCGTTATAACTTAGAAACGTGACATTACACGTAATAAGGAGGTTTCTGGAGAATGAACCATATACGTTTATAAAGAGCTCTGTACGTGTCTGTGTATACATGTGTATGTGCTCATAATGCAGAGTTCACGCTGCGTAATCCAATGTGATGTACCACTGTGCTGTATATATACAGCCCAAGAGCTTTCGAGCCGCTGCTGCGGCAAAGCTTTTCATACTTTCCAGTGGCACAATCAGCGTAATATTAAATTTGTATTATAATGATTGTCGAAACGAAGTATGCGGAACAAGCGCGCACTCCTGGACTTCATTTTTCGCGGGAACATGATTAATTATTATACTTAATGAGACTTTAATTGCAACGGGCCGGGGTTTTATTATTTTTTTTCCTTCTTCTTCTTTTTCTTTTTGACTCGGTGCGGTCCAAGTTTGGCATACATACCAACGAGTTTGAATCGGAACCTCGTTATAAATTCGAGTGTCAAAAACCGTATTAATCCGAGTAACCACGGTGTCACACATTTCTGAAAATTAGGTTGTGTAAATTCTCGAAAAAGGTGTTATCGCACGAAGCTCGCTCACATCTACACCTATATATTATTGCAGGCGATAACTTTTAATTAAAGCCATACATCATTCAGCGAGTAGCTTATTCGTCTTTGTGCGTTACGACGCATGACACGTGAATTCGAAATACTTGCAAGAAACATCGTCGAGGGGCTCGAGCTTCCATTACACGAGCGTATGTGTGTGTCTATGTGAGCACGTTACGTACGTACATATATTCATTTATGCGTGTGCATACCGCGTGTATTAAGAAGCCATCAGTTGCAAAAGCTCCGCTCAGAAAGGAGAAAGAGAGAATGGAAGGGATTCGAGCCACTTCCGCGCAGGAGCGAATCGTATGTACAATATATAGATACGCGATATCACATACATATACTCACGAAGTTCACCAGCTCGTTAAGCATGTTAATCATGGAAAATTAAAATCTCCTGCTATATGTATGTTCGTGTTGCGGAATTGGATGCATATAATATGCATACACTACCCGGAGTATTTCTAGAGTAATGCCGGGGAAAAAAGAGACGAGCACCGTGCGCTCGTTGAGAGTTTACATGTACAAAAACGTCGATTTCGTTGAGGTAAATACTTCGTTTGTATTTCTTTAAATAATAAAAATGCATTTTACGATATAAATATCTACTTGAGAGTGACTTTGATGATTTTTATTGGCGCTGCAGCATGAATTATTAAATTCCCCTCCACATCGAAGGTGCATTTTTTCTCCTTTCAATAAATAATGCGTTCAATAATCAGAAATAATCTGAAATTTCTTGAATGATATTTTTCTCGTCGATTTTCTATTTATCGGAGCACGACACAGCCACTCGTTCAATTTTAATTTATTAAAATGCGCGAGCTCTATGTGTATCGTTGCCCCGTGAAAACTCTGCTTTCACATATAAAAAGATACAAGTGCGCGAGTATAAGAGTTGCCTCTTGCGCTCTTTCCTACCTCTTTCTCTCTTCAGTCTTCCTTAACATACATTCACTGGTCGTTTTGTACGAAGCACTGCTTATTATCACTGCATAAAAGTTTTATTTCCTCTGTTGCTCTCATCGCGCAACTCCCTGGACTTGTCTCTACATATACTTAACTCCTCGTGTGCGCCATAACAGTGTGAGCGATGCA